CTAGTTTGTATATATATATATATATATATATATATATATACTCGTATTTAATTGGCAATTAATCAATTTTACTTTCATTTGTTTTTACTTGAAAACAAAGTTTCAAATGAAAAGAATTTTTTTTTTTTTCGTGATTTAGTTTTTCGTGTGATAATGATCACGAATCATAATCACGAATAACGGAACACGTAATCTATTTGGTTTAAACGTAAGATTCAGTGAAATAAAAAGTCTAGGCAGATTAATATAATAGAATAAATTTAATGCTCAGTCATGCTTATGAAAGATTATTTAATTATGGAAGATAGTGGTAACCATTTATTTCAAATTGATTTGTTCTTAATAAAATATCAGGTTAAGATTCTTTCACATGTTTCAATTTTTGTGAAACAAATATAATTATTGTATGATTTGAGGTGTAAATTTTGAAGAACTTTTTAAGAAGCAATATTTCATAACGCAGTTTATTGCTTTTTTAATTTTTTATCGAAGATAATAAGTGTTTTAGTCATTCTTTTTTAAGAAAATATTATATTTCACTGCTATTTAGCGTCAAAAATAAAAAAAAAAAAACTCTGTCTTTATGTCTTTTTTACTGTTATTATCTTCTTCCATATTTGAGCAATATTTACGTAATAAATTTTGCAAAACTGTGACAAAATTTATTACAATTTAGTATAACCTCGTTAAGTTTTATTAATTATTTGATTAATTTTTACTTGTTTCTTGAGATTTATTCTTTTTTTTCTTTTTTTTTTTTTACTAATACATTCTAAAAATTCTATTCATAAATAAATCTCTTAAAGAAATGGAAGAGATAAAGATATACTTTCAGAATTTGATAAAATGTTAAACATTCTTTTTTATAAGTAAAGAAATATCTGATATTCAAAAGATAGCAAAAAATAATGCACATTTGATTGATTAGATAAATTTTATATCAATATTATCAATACGTTTAATATTTTTATAAAATTCGATTATTCTGAAATAAAATCGCAAACTTTATTTTAAATTAACGTCGTTCGAAACACTTTTAATTCTAACTATTACAAAAAATATAAAATTTCTCTTTGATCGTTTTCCTATTATTATTTTTATGCATTATGTTGTTAACATTTGTTAATCGGAAATAATGTTATCCAGTTGATTCACTTCGACGATGATTAAATATCGATGAATGCATTCAATTATTCCATGACTTACTCGTATTAATACCATTCTTAATCATGTGATTATTCGTTGTTAATACGACGTGCAATTAATCTCTTCCCTGACTGTGAGTGAATTTTATTTATTTAACTTGGTTTCGTTTGTATACAAATCTTCGATTTTTCAATTCGATCGTCCCGTTTCGCCTTCTTTTCCTCGAAATCGTGCAACTCTAGTTATTTCGATTTTTCATTTGAGAGCATCAGGAATTGATGCTTTTTTTTTTTTTTCTCCACGATTTTCAAGGTGAATTTTATTTATCTCGGTTTCGTATACAAACCGATTATCACGCTTCACCTTTTCTTCGACGAAAGTAAACTTGCAGCGCTAGTGACCCCTAGTATTTTCAATTTTCATTTAAATTCTCGCCACGAAGTGTTGACTTTCAGAAAGTATATTTTTAGTTTTCTATTAAAAATTCAATTTAACTTTTAACTATATAAAATGTTCATTCATTCGTTTTTTGAAAAATCAAATTTCATATTTTTGTAAAATGCAAAAGTCAAGCCATTATATCTAATTTTCTATATTTTTCCCTGCAATCGTGTGAATCCTATCGTAATTTTTGCTAAAATAAACATCATAATGATATAATAAAATGATTATCCACACAGTTATGGGTTTAGTTATCATTTTATTGTTCGAAATTTGATTGCCATTACGCTTGAGTTTCTTTTCGAAAATTTTTTTCATCCTTTTTTTCATCCTTTTTTTTTTTATCTTTTACATAGAAAGTACATATTTAAGAATCTGCTGGACGATGAATTAATAATAATACCATCGTAAACGGGAGGATAAATTGTCATTGGGATAACGGTTCCCAGTCGGAGAAAATGGCATTTAACCATATAGAAAGCTTCTCCGTATATGGTACAACCAATAATCAATGCCGAAGCCAATTTAACTAAGTGCCGTGTCGTATTTTTACCATATATTTTTATTTATCGATCAATCAGTTAGATCATTGAATTTAATTTAATTTAGAATTAAAGGAAATAGGGACGACGATTTCCAAGTTAATGCAATTATTAGATACGTGATAATAACTGTTGATAACTTCACTTAAATTATATTATTTGTCGTCCGAGCACGGCAGAGTACAGATTGTTCAATTTAATTTAATTTTGTTTAACATAAATCGAAAAATATTCTTTTTTTTGTATAAATAAAACGAATATTAAGATGTGTCTATATAATGATGATGATTGTGCACTATTAGATACGATAATAATAAGAAATTGATTAAAGAAAAAGAGTTTATGAATTTTTAATAATATTTTTAATAAGATTTAATAAACATAGATTCTAATAAAATTTTCAAAATTATAATTTTTTCTTAAATTATAGAATATATTATATTATTAACATTATATTCGTGGGATATCTTTGAAAGATTAATTTAAAAAGCTAAAAAAAAAAAAAATTGATACATAAAAACATCAATTATGGTTTACTTATTATAAATTGATATTAAATGAAGGAAGATGGAAGGAGAATAAGAGGACGGTGTGACAAAGATATCTTCATCCTCCTATTTTATCTACTTTTGCCAACTTAAAATACCTGTAACTCAATAAAGCCTCAGCAAACATTTTTCTATTTACTTTGATCTCTAAAATCGACAAATATATTAATATCTTATTTTTATTACGTATTACATTTATATATTTAAACATTTACAAATTTCAT